AGCTGTCATGGCACTGATGAGTGACCAGAGGTCTCTCTCATTGCCATCTTGGTTTTGGTGAGTTTTAGCCGGCTTCTTTACTGCAGGGTGTTTTATCAGCAAGGTCTTTATGACCTGTATCTTGTGCCAACCTTCTGTGTTATCCTGTGACTTAGGATGCCTTAATCTCCTGGGAATGCATCCCAGTAGGTTTCAGCCTCATTTTACCCAGCCGCTATTCACGATGGAGTTGCCCTGGTTCAAACGCCTCTGACACATCCAGCTTCTTAATTTGCTTTTTGACATTACTTGATAACCCCTGCCTAAACGCCAACTGTCAGAGTTTGAGTAGTGATGTTTTTCTGATTCTGTGGTTCTTTTATACTTATTAGTTGATGTTTGTCTGTAAAGTGTAGCTTTCCCTCATCAATTGGAACAGTATAAATGTTGAATTCTTTTTCCCTTAATTACAGTTCTGAAAATAGGTAGTAATTTTAAATAGCAGTCTAAAATGGTACAGATTTGTTTTCTGTCTTTGAATATCATGAGGGGCTCACGGATTTTTTTTTTTGAGATGGAGTGTCACTCTGTCACCAGGCTGGAGTGCAGTGGTGCAGTCTTGGCTCATTGCAGCCTCCGCCTCCCTCGTTCAAACAATTCTCCTGCCTCAGCCTCCTGAGTAGTTGGGACCACAGGTGTGTGCCACTACACCCAGCTAATTTTTGTATTTTTAGAAGATACGGGGTTTCACCATGTTGGCCAGGTTGTTCTCTTATCTTTTGACCTCATGATCCGCCCGCCTTGACCTCCTAAAGTGTTGGGATTACAGGCGTGAGCCACCACTCCCTGCCAATTTCTTTGATTTTATAGTTGTGTTATTTCTCTTATTCTGAAGATTTAGAGTTCTAATACGATTAACTTAATTACTTGCTTTAACCTGTGACTTAAAGGAAATAGTTTCAAAATACCAACGTTAATGTTACTATAAGAGTAGAACTTTTTTTTTGTTTTTGGAATGCATCTTGGTGAAGATGTATAGTCAGAATACGGTTTTTAAAATCTTGGGAATAAATCTTTTGTTAATGTGGTTATGTTTTCATTTTGGTATACAGCTATGTTTATTTATTCAAACTTTTGAATTTAAGGGATTTTCAAAGTTCTGTAGAGAGAGAACCATAGTGAACTCTTGCTTCTACCTTGTTTTATCCTGACCCTTAAAAGAGCTGTTTTCATTGGTTTCTTGTTTATCCTTCCAGTGTCGCTTTTTCTATATACAAGTATAATATAAGCATATCCTTAACTCTTTTTCCTCATGGAAAGCTGGCATATTTCATATACTGTTCTTTTGCTTTTCCCTTCCTTTTTATTTCTTTAATTTAAGAGTATATTTTAGGGCCCGGCGTGGTGGCCCATGCCTGTAATCCCAGCCCTTTGGGAGGCTGCGGCTGGTGGATCACCTGAGGTCAGGAGTTTGAGACCAGCCTGGCCAACATGCTAAAACCCCCTCTCTACTAAAAATACAAAAATTAGCTGGGTGTGGTGGCATGTGCCTGTAATCCCAACTACTCAGGAGGCTGAGGCAGGGGAATCACTGGAACCCAGGAGGTGTAGAGGTTGCGATCAGCTGAGATCATGCCATTGCACTCCAGCATGGGCGACAGAAAGAGACTCTGTCTCGAAAAAAAAAGTTAATTATATCTAGGAGGTAAATACATAGAAATTCTACACATGCCATTGTAATGACTATATGATATTCCATTATTTAGATGTACCATAGTCTTCTCAGCTATTACTTACTGTGAGACAACTTGCGCTATTTCTAGTTTTTTTGTTATTACAAATAGTACACAGTGAATAACCTATTACATATTCTGGGATAGAAAAGTGAGACTGCTGGATAGAAAGGTAAATACATTTGAGTTTCTTTGTATTTTGGGGTGGTTTTTGTTTTTGTTTTTGAGACAGGGTCTCACTGTCTTGCCCAGGCTGGAATGCAATGAGCGTTCATGGCTCACTTGAGCCTTGACCTCCTAGGCTCAAGTGATCCTTCCACCTCAACCTCATGAGCCACTGTGCCTGGCCCTGAGTTTTTCTTTATCTTTCTTTTTTTTTTTTTGAGACAGAGTCTCGCTCTTTAACTCAGTTGGAGTGCAGTGACGTGATCTTGGCTTACTGCAACCTCCGCTGCCCAGGTTCAAGCAGTTCTCCTGCCTCGGCCTCCCAAGTAGCTGGAATTACAGGCACGTGCTACCATGCCTGGTTAATTTTTTGTATTTTTAGTAAAGATGAGGTTTCACTGTGCTGGCCAGGCTGGTTTTGAACTCTTGACCTCGTGATCCGCCCACCTCGGCCTCCCAAAGTGCTGAGATTACAGGCATGAGCCATTGCGCCCACCCTTGTGCTAACGATTTTACCGGAGGTTCAGGAGGAAGCAGAATTACATTTGTGCGTTCGGACTTCCGTCTTAACCAGAAACTCACTGCTCTCATGAAACACTGTCACTTACTTAGCCCTTGGGGTTTGGGATATCAAAAGGTTTCCATTTTGGATATTGATTGTTTCCACCTCAGCCTCAAATGCTTATTCTCCAAATTTTTACACAGCTGGCTCCTTCTTATCACCTTTAAAAAATTTTTTAATGTATGTATTTTTTTTTTTTTTTTTGAGACAGGGTCTTGCTCTATAACCCAGGCTAGAGTGCAGTGGTGTGATCTTGTCCTTGACATCCCAGGCTCAAGTGATCTTTCTGCTTCAGCCTCCTGAGTAGTTTGGACTAGAAGTGTGCGCCACCAAGCCCAGCTAATTTTTGTATTTTTTGTAGAGACAGGGTTTCACCATATTGCTACCATGCACAGCCTTTGTTTTTCTGAGTTATTTAAAAAATCTTATTTTTATTGCACAGATGCCACAGTTTTTTCTTCTTTTTGAGGATATTAATTACAAAGTATTTTTCCTTAAGTTTTTAGTCCATTCCCCTCCCCACCTCCTTTTTCTGCACTAATTTTGTTCCCTCTGAATTCCTTTCTGTTTATCTTGAATCTGTTTATCTTGAATGTTGCCTTTCAAAGTGTTTGGTGGTCCGTGGTACATTATGAGTGTAGTATTTAAAAGCTCATTGGAGGCTGGGTACGGTGGCTCACATCTGTAATCCTAGCACTTGGGGACACCAAGGTGGACACATCACTTGAGGTCAGGAGTTTAAGACCAGCCTGGCCAGCATGGTAAAACCCCATTTCTCTTAAAAATACAAAAATTAGGCGAGTGTGGTGGTGAGTTCCTGTGATTCTAGCTACTTGGGAGGCTGAGGCAGGAGAATTGCTTGAACCTGGGAGGCAGAGGTTGCAGTGAGCCGAGATTGTGCCACCACACTGCAGTCTGGGCGACAGAGTGAGTCTGTGTCTGAAAGAGAGAGAGAGAGGGAGAGGGAGAGGAGGGAGAGGAGAGAGAGGAAGGAGAGGGAATGAGAATGAAGAAACTATAGCTACATTGCAGCAATGTGTAACTGGAAGGGAGCACAAAGGGCCTTCTGGGTTGCTGGTAATGTTGAGTTACTTGAGCTGGGGCCCTGGTTATGCAAGCATGTTCACTGTGTGTCATTCCATTGAACTGTACATTAGATTTGTGTGCTTTTTGGTATGTCCACTTCAAGTGAAAGTTTATATGAAGTAAAAGAGAAAAAGTAGTGGAATCTCTTTGTGGGCAGGGTTGGTTTATTGACTGGTACCCACAGCGTGTGGTCAGATATCAAAGCAACACTCTTTTGTTGGGGACCCCTGAATGTCAGTGTCTGAAGATGGTACGTGTATGTGTTTGTTCTTTCGGCTATGTTTAACTGGAAGTCTTTAGGTTTCCTTTTAAACCTCTTTTATTGAGAAGACAAAGTTTTTTTTTTTTTTTTTTTTTTTTTTTTTTTTTTTTTTTTTTTTTTTTTGTGACAGAGTCTTGCTCTGTCTCCAGGCTGGAGTACAGTGGCGCGATCTTGGCTCACTGCATCCTCCTGTTGAGTTCAAGCGATTTTCCTGCCTCAGCCTCCCAAGTAGCTGGGACTACAGATGCGCATCACCACGACCAGCTAATTTTTGTAGTTTTGGTAAAGATGGGATTTCACCATGTTGGGCAGGATCGTCTCAATCTCTTCACTTCGTGATCACCTGCCTCGGCCTCCCAAAGTGCTAGGATTACAGGCGTGAGCCACTGTGCCTGGCCTGCAGAGTATTTTTTTAAGTTAGATTTGAAAGATACCTAAGATGAGGTAGTGTGTCAGTTTTTTCTTTGAGAAACACATTTCTTCAGTCATCTTTCTAGAAAAAAAAAAAGAAAGAAAAGCACATTGGAATTTCTTTTTTTTTTGAAACAGTGTCTCGCTCTGTTGCCAGACTGGAGTGCAGTGGTGCGATTTCGGCTCACTGCAACCTCCGCCTCCTGGGTTCTAGCATTCTCCCTGCCTCAGCCTCCTGAGTAGCTGGGGCTACAGGCGTGCACCACATTAATATTATAAATCAACAATATTAATTTATTTTTAAAATAATTATTATACAAATAATTATAATTTATATTATATAAATAATTTTTGTATTTTTAGTAGAGACGGGGTTTCACCTTGTTGGCCAAGATGGCCTCCATCTCTTGATCTTGTGATCCGCCTGCCTTGGCCTCCCAAAGTGCTGGGATTACAGGTGTGAGCCACTGCGTTCAGCCTAGAATTGGAATTTCTATTTATTCATTCATCATTCAGCGAATACTTAAAAGTCAAGATAAACAGGATTCATCTTCTCTTGGAGTATAGAGCATAGCAGAAATTACAAACATTAAATATAGGTGGGATGAGTTATGAAGGGAAGTAGGGACTTCCCTAAGGAAATGATATTTTAGTTAGGTGAAGAACAGAAAAATAGGGGAAAATTCACTTTTTTCTTAATGAAAATGTCTCATCTTGATGTGAAAGCTTTTATTAATAAAAATGTCTCATCTTGATGTGAAAACCTTTATTCCTGTCTGATCACTCTGTTATGTGATTTCAGGTGGAGAGTATAGTGAAGATGATGTAAATGAATTAGTGAAGGAAGATGAAGTGGATGGTGAAGAGCAGACACAGAAAACCAAAGGGAAAAAAAGAAAGGCCCAGAGCATTCCAGCCAGGTGATACTGCCCTCAAGGCCCTTAGAAGTCAGGGCTATTGTCACAAGCATCCTGATTGCTAAGATTGGTCTCCTGAGAGGTTTAATAAAGCCAGAGTTTCTAATACTTTTTTCTTAGAGGAAAACATTTGCTGTTATTTTACGATTAACTGCCTGGTCTCTGACAAGCTTTAAAAATTTTGAGCTTTAATGTAAAAAAAAATATATTTATAGGTAATATGTACATATGGTTAAAACAGAAAATTCAGTCCCTAAAAAGATGTTTACCCTGTTCCTAGCCCTTGTTGCGTTGCCTCTAAAGAACTATATTACAGAGATAGTCTGTGCATGTAAAAGCATATATGTATATGTTTTCTATCCTTATTTTTTTTTTTTTAGAAAAAATATAAATAATAGCATACTCACTTTCTCATTTTCATTTCTCTTTATTTCACATCTTGGAGATGGTACTATGGCAGTATCTCCTCCATTTCATAGTATTACGTCAGTGAATAGGCCTTACTTTATTTAGGCTTTCCAGTGTTGAGGGATGTTTAGATTGTATCTAGTCTTTTTTTTTTTTTTTTTTTTTTTTTTTTTTTGTATCTAGTCTTTACCACAACTAACAAGACTGCAGTGAATATTCTTTGTATACATGTATACAAAGTATACTTGAAAACATAAATGTATATAAAGTATACGTGTATAAATATATCTGTAAATGAAATGTGTAGAAGTAGAATTGTTTGAGCTAAGGTTATATATGCAGTTAAGTCAAAAAATATATAGATATTAGCAAATTGCCTCCCATGGGCCTTGTATGGGCTTGTATTCCCAAGAAAAATGATGATAGTTTAAAAAAATAAATAAAGCCGGGCGCGGTGGCTCAAGCCTGTAATCCCAGCACTTTGGGAGGCCGAGGCGGGTGGATCACAAGGTCAAGAGATCGAGAC